GTTTAAATGCAGAGTGCGATTTCTGCTAAACACATAGTTTGGCTACGTCCTCTGGACGGTAGATGTCGCAGAGAACTCTCGTTCGCTGTGTTTTCACCGCTGTTCTGTGGCACTACTTGCTATAAGAGCGGCTGGTGCATTTTGTTTCGAGTTTGTCGAAACAGGCTGTCTGTCGGTGCCCGGTTCGAAGCACATTCGAAATAAAAGCACAGGGAGCGAGGTGATTGTCATTTTTACATATTGCTATGTACTACTACTCTAGTAGGAAAACACAGTATATAGCAAATAAATTAAAATAACTTGTATATTCATTTTACAAATTAAGAGAGATTATCTCAAAAAGTCACTTATATAAATATATATAAATATATATATAAATCTCTAGAGGAATTAATAATATCATATGGGATTATTATATGGTGGGGACATTGAAAATCATTTAAAAAGTATTATCGTGACAAAAAAAATAGATTCTAAAAACAATTTTATTTAAAAAACATACAGCTTAGACAATTGAAATATACCACGAGAGCAATGTCTTTGATTTTAATCAGTTGTATGCATTTAATGTAGCCAAGTTTGTTTATAAAAATCCAATATTAAGAAAAACTGCTCAACATCAGTACAATACTTGACAAGAAATTAATCTAATTCCCAAGATTCCATCGACACCATCACACTTAAAAACTGTATTTGTGTAACAGGTTCGAAAGTGTACAATGTTTTGCCCAATGAACTAAAGAGAATTAATACCTTTAATTTATTTTGTAAAAAACTTAAGTTATTTATACTATCACTATACTAAACTATTTTTAAGATAATATCTATAAAAGGGCCACGGGTAGCGCAGTGGGTTAGGCGACTATGACGAGACAAACTGCGTCCGAAGGTACCGGGTTCGATTCCCGGTCACAGCCTTGGGTGTTGTGCGCGTTGAAAGTCGGTAGATGAGTCCGTGGTTCAGATTCCACGTTAAACATAGGTCCCGCTGAAGAACCGAACCTTATAGGCTTTGCCTGTAAGCTGGATAGGTTGATGGCGTTACTACTCTACTTTTATCTATAAAATTTAATTCATTAAAAATATTTTTTTATTTGTATCTACTATAATTATTATTCGTTTATGTATTTACAGTTTATATTTAATGTTTTATTTTTTAATTTTTTTTCTGCTAAGAACACACCTCGAATATTGTTTTTGTTATTAAAATCTAAGCGCGACACGATTTCGTATGAAGGCAGGTGCAAATAGGAAAAATTAATTATGTACATGTGAAATTTTTTGTAAAATGTGTTCAATAATAGTATATTCTGTAACAAGTTTGGAATACAGCATATTCCGCTCGAGTAAAGAGTTTGTCACACGAGCCAAAGACGAGTTTGACGGTTTCACGAGAGCAGAATATGCAATTCCGAACGTGTTTCAGACTATACTTTTTCTACGTTTCCAAAAAATAGCATAGAAAAATAATTTATTTGGAAGAAAGTGAGGTTGGATCGGTCTAAAATTTGTTAGATATTAAAAACAGAGATGTCGCCAAGAGTGTTCATTCTGTCATCCGATGATAGAATATTTCATTCTTTAACACTTTACGGAATATATGTCATTCCATAGATAAAAGTGATATTAGAACGGTCAAATTGCGTAATAGGAGTAGAAAAAATGTATTAATATTATTATTTATATATTAATATAAATAAATAAATGGCAAGGATTTTCAATAAATATTGGATTTATACTTATTAACTTTAGTTAAAAGAAATACAAAGATTATAATTCGCATATTGGATAAAATATTAATATTTAAATATATATACAAAACTCCCCCAGCTATTAGGATCGAATAAAGTCCAGACTAACTTCATTAAATTTTAAAGCAAGTATCTTTAACCTTTTAAAAACACTTGGGAAATGAATTTAATTACAGCTTTTAGAAGAAGTGTAAATGTCTTATATTTTATTAATTAGATATGGTTATATTTAAGCGTTTAATTCACGATAAATTTTGTATTTCACTTATGAAAATTGAAAAGCTTAAAATGATTTGGTATCGATAAATTTACTACTTTCAAATGAATGGTAAAAGAATAAACAAAAAGTTATACACCGAAAACATAATAAAAGGAAACATTTCAAACAATGTTGTCCAATTTAGATTGAGCCAAACAAACTTTTAGTTTTTAAAACACCGATTGTGTTTTGGTGTACAAGGTATTGGCAAAACGTGCATTTTATTTCTTAAATAATTTAAAAATTATATAATATATTAATTATATTGTTGAAGCCCGATTTAAGCAAATTTCTTTTAGCATATTCTTTATACCATATAGTAAATGTTTATGTATTGTCGTTAAACATGTACCAACAATTTGGTCGACGAGTTGGAAAAACCAAATTACATAATCATAGTAAGCTTAGTAGGCATATTTCCAATGACATATAAAATGTTAACAAGAAAGACTAATGTTAAATTAATGAATTATTTCCCAAAACTAAGTTGGATGTATCGCGGCTAGATCGATATAACTGACGAACAACTTTGTCCCTGTAATGTCACAATATTCATGAGAATTAAATAAATATATTTACCAAATTATACTTTAGCGGAAATATTAATCGTACTGTAAAGATTTCTCTTTACATCAGGTTCGTTTAAAACAAATTTTATGAAAAATTAATAACTATTTTGTGATTTTGGCTCGTTATCGTCTTACACAAATTTGGACCTTGTTTTACTTACTTGTGTAAACATATTTTTTTGTAATGACACCAATAAAGTATTATTATTATTATTATTATTATTATAATAATAATCGACCAAACGCTAAAAATTGCTGTCGCAGTGAACGTGTTAAATACATTTCTTTAGGAATCTTACTTGGAAGAATACCTATACAAAAAATAAGAGAGTACCTATACAAAAAATAAAATACAGTGTTTGGTTTACCCCAATTTAATTTACTTTAAAAACTCTTTACAACAAGCAAGGGTCTTAAGAAGATACGATCGGGGAAAAAGAGCAAAAGAAAAAACACTGTTGGGCTATAAAGTAATCACACGATATGACGTTGTTTCTTTTAAAAATGTATGCAAAATTAATGTGATGACGCGACGATCGTTACTTTTTCTAACCCCAAAAGTTCAAAAATAGGAAAAAAGTTGTTAGTTAACAGGACAGTTAACCGTTAGTATGTCAACGTTAAAGTTGCCCTGTGGGAAACGAGGTTCACATTGGAGACATCTCGCCTAAAGATGAGGGTTCGATGTCGTCTATAGTCGAACCTAGGTGACCATTTATTCCTCACGGTGTGGAGCATTTTAATATCTACTACAAGGCACGTGCACTAAAGAAAAAGGAGGGAGTTTAAAATTAACGGTCAATACTACCTTTTAAGCAACGAAACGGTAAGACAGTATCACAAAGATATTTGTTTTAAAATGACCACAAAAGTGTTACAGGGACAGTGTACAACTAAATTAAGTTTTGAACAATAAAATAACGGAATAACTTTTTTACACTAAACAGTAAACTTAAAAGCCTAGAACATTTTGTAAAAATAGCTAAGAGAAAAGTTGTTAATATTGAGTAAAACTCGCTTCACCTAGTAGTGCCATATAACTTTTGATCAATTAACTTATCTGAATCGTACTACGTTTAGTGGACTTTACCATATAATTTTGGGCTACTAAAATTAAAAACTAACCTTGGAGAATACATAAACACTTGTAAAAATTATTTAAACAGAACTTTACAATATATTTCGTTTTAGCATAAATTTATAAGAACCAAATACCATATTCAAAAACTTTCTGCCTGTTTTCTTGCTCCCCTTTACTTGCCTTGTGTACCTGATCCATCGTTTCTTGTATCATCTGGACACCAGATTTTTCCAAATTACAGGCAAATTTCTTTACCCAGGCGTCCCTTTTTACCTCTTTTGTAAAGCTTTTTACCTTTCACACCATAATTTAGAAATTCAAAAATAAATTTGTAAAATATATAAAACTACCTACGTTATTTCCTTTGAAAATAAATTTGTAAAACGTATTAAAGTACGGAACCATCACAGTACAGACCAGAAAACTATGGTGTTTTAAAAATACTGACTTTTTTTCGAGTCTCCTATGAAAATATTTTTCATGTTTTAACATCTCTCTTCAAGTCGCTCACGCATTTTAAAAATACTGTAGACATTACAATCACAAAGTTGTTTGTCAGTTATATCGGCCCAACATCGATATATTCAACTTGTTTTAGGAAATTACACGGTGTCACTATTTTTGGGTCATCGCTTGCAGTCCAAATAGGTCCAATGCCAAATGAAAGTAGACCAACAGACTAAAACAACTACAACTAAATATAAAATTGGACATTTCAATAAGGATATATTTCTTGCCATTTCGGCTTTAGCCTCGACTTTAGTCAGTTTTAGTCACCTTTAATAGCAATAAATTCGATACGTCCAAATTCTTTTGGGATTTAGTTCAACGTCGATACCAACTGTTTTAATATAAATTAATATAAATAAATAAAATATGACTTTAAAATAGGCAGGGATGGATGTCAGCAACTTCAGGGCCCACTTAAAATCGGCTCGCGATCCACCCACCCTCCAGTAGTTCGCGACCCCTACTTTGGGAAAAAATGACCTAAAGGAAGGTACCAGTTTGACACAATTAAATTTAAAAAACAAAAATTGCTGGAGATTTACGTATATGTATTGCCTCCATTTGACCTATTTTAAAGGCCACAAAACACATAAAAACAGATCCAACATCTAGCTGACCATATAATCGTTTTTTCAAAATTTGTGCTGTTATTCGAATATATATATATTTTTGAATTATTTGTTTGTAATTTAATCTACTGGGTAAATTTACTTTGAGTATTCCAAAAGAGTATCCTACACTTCGAAACATGTCTGCAACTTTTAGCAGTGTTATTTTAAGTATGTATAATACGTTAAAATAATAAATGTAAATACTTTTTTTATTTACAGACGGTGTTAAGTCACACAGCCTCAAATGGTTCAATTGATTTGTTGGAAATTATTCTCCAATTGCCAGGATTGGATCCGAATAAGGCTGACAATGAAGGAAATACTCCATTGCATTTTGTTGCTCAAGCAGGTAATTTATTAAGTGCTTTTAGAACAAATAACTTTTTTTATGCATAAAGCATAATTTTGTTTGTCTTTAAAATGTAGTTTTTTACCTATGTTTGTAAACTTTTAGAGTTGAAAATAGGTATTTTAAAATGCAAAATAGGCTTGAAGTTCTCTTCAAATTAATTAGTTGGAAAAGAAGCACAAAACAAATGCAGCTAATTAATTTACCTCTATTATATTATTAGATCACTTAATTTTCGTGAAAATGCTGCGTTTACAGAAAACAATATATATATATATATATATATATATATATTTATATACCATATTCGAACAAAACGTGATTGGACACTTAAGAACAGTGAAACAGCACCGAAATATCCACTTGGGTATTGGTTATTTTTAGATTGAACATCTTTTATTTTACTTAAATTAAAAATAGAATTAATTTTTTAAAGGGCAAATTGAATGTCTTAATTGTATGCTGAGTCGATGTAGAGGAATAGAAATAGACGCCAGAAATTACCTAGGATTTACACCGCTAATGAAAGCTGCCCTGCAAGGAAGAAATAAATGTGCCAAGCTTCTACTTTTTGCGGGTAAGTTTTATTTAAAAAATTATTTACTATAATGACTGAAATTAAAGTTGTATTTTTAAAATTGACCCAAAAATTATTTATAAACTTAATGCACACACGTTTTTTTTTAACATCTGTTCTATAGCAATCTGATTGATAGCTGTTAATATAATTTTATAAACATACAGATGCATTCAATTATTGCAGCCGAGTGTTTATGATCAATACATTTTCCATGATATCTACCAGTGCGTTCACAGTTATCTAATTTACAAAGATTATTTTATCGACCTTAATTTTTATCAGCTATAATCAATATACTAAACCTGTGAAACATATAAAATGGGTTATTTTGAAATAAAAAGATAAATATAAGAACTGAGTGGACAAAATTAATATTTTAAAGGTAACATCAAATATTGCAATATTTAATTTTACTTTTGCCTTCTCAAAGGGTTGGGAATTATATTTTGAAAACTTTGCTAGTTTTTTTATAAAAATATGTTTTTAACATTTTTAGCTCAATTTGCAGGTTTTAAGTAAAGTTAACATTAATTTTGTAAAATTTTACTTTTAAAAATATGTAAAAAAAATAATCGTGATAAATATTGGATTGTAGGCTATATAAAACACTTTTTAGTTAGCGGAAGTGCTGCTGCACGCTGTAGGTACTGTATTAAAATAATTTGCGTCGATATTAGCCTTAAAATATTCAGAAACGTTGTTTCTATGAAGTCATTCCAAATAAAAACACCAAATGGGGTGCGCTGCTTAATTTTTTATTTTGATAAAAAAAATTGAGGGTGATCTTTTAGGTATCAAATATGAAAATCCGTTGCCGTTTTAATTTTTGAATTCTTTACTTTTAATCGGCACCCTTTAGAAATCTGAAATCGTGTCAATTGACTATGTATATGACTATATATTATATACATTAAAATGAAGTATTTAATTGGCTAATTGGTTTTTAAAGAAGAAGAATGTAAAAATATATTCAAGATCCTTATGGTTTATATCGTAAAGTATAATAAGTGAAATTAATAAAGAGATAATTTAAACGTATAAAAAATGCGTTAAGCAGTTTTTTGTCGGTTTATTGCACAATTTAAACCAAGTTAGTCTTGTTCTATTATTTTGATCCTTTTTGTAAGGCACTGAATAGTTAAAAGTTATATGTATGTATTTTAAATGCTAGTGTTGAAAAAAAATTTACACAATCTGTAAATACTTCTTTAAATTTTAGTTTTAAAATTAAACATGTTATAATAAATATTTTCTATGAGAAAGAGGTACAAAATTATGATATGTTCTTGCATTTTTAATTGCAATTAAATTTATGAATCTCGAACACTCCGTCATTTATTACACAAATAATATTTATGAAATATTTTTGACAGTTCTGACATTTCTCTACCAAACATGAATTGACTGTCAAAGCCATCTAAATTTTAAATTATAAATAAAACTAACAATATCGCTTCTTAACTGCAATAAAAAAATTAAAAAAATCTTTTACATGGATAAAAATAACAAAACAAGACTAACTAGACTGAAAAGATGAAGGTGGGGACTACATTTCCTGAAAGTTTCAGATTTTTATTTTTTCCTCAACATAATGATTTCTGAGGGCAAAATTGGCTTATTTTGAAAATTATCAAGTTTCAATATTTTTTTTAATAGTTACGTTTTCTATTGTATAAGTACTTACTTGATACCTAGATTTAGCAGAATAGGCACAGGAGCCAGACAAAAATCACAAAAATTGGCAAATTATTACAAATCTTTAGTGGTAATTAGATAATAATAATTAATATTGAAAACATACTTACTAGGCAGTAAAATAAAATTACAATCATTTCAATAATTGCCACAGAAAAAAAGTTTTAGCCTCTTATAAGAGAGTAAGAAAATGACACGATTTCAGGTTTCTAAAGGGTGCCGATTAAACATAAAGCAACTAAAATTAAAACGGCAACGGTTTTTCATATATGATACCTAAAAGATCATCCTCAAATTTTTTCATTAAAATAAAAAATCATGCAGCGCACTTTTAAATTCATTTTTGGTGTTTTCATTTGGATTGACTATGTTAGACTAGAATAGTATAAAAAATATTGAAAACGCAGTAAAGGGTGTCCCAACAAGAGCGCCGGATTTGTACGGTGATTTTTTTTCGACAGTTGTCACGTACAGACAACTCGATTTAAGAACATGGAGAAATATCCAAAAATCCAACGTTTAATTATTGTAAAAATATATTACAAAAATAGTGAAAGTTTTGCGAAAACAGTTCACCAATTACGTCAAGTTTTCGGTCGTAATTACGCGCCAAATGAATTGACAATGAGGGGTTTAATTACAAAATTTGAGACCAAATTTACTCCGATGGATCAGAAGACCATTGATCGTTGTCGTCTTTGTCGGTCACTCGTAAATATAGCCACAGTAAGGGAATCTGTGGCCGAGAATCCAGGAACTTCCATTCGGCATCGTGGTCAAGAATTAAACATTGTGGCCCGAATTGGATGTAATTGATTTGGAGGACATATTTTTCCAACAAGACGGTGGGACCTGCCACACAGCACGAGAAACAATGGTGTTACTGCAGATCAAGTTTCCAGTCCGTGTCATTTCCCGATTTGGTGATCAACATTGTCAACCAAGATCATGATGGACTTTTTTCTTTAGGGCTAAGTGAAGAAAAAGGTGTATGCGAATAAGCCTTAAACAGTTGAACATCTTAAAGAGGAAATATTGGTGAAATACAGCCACATTTATGCGAAAACGTTATTCAAATTTCAACAAGAGAATAACCCTGTGCTAGAGGTGGCCATTCGCCTGATGTTGTATTTTACGTTTAATCGGAACTATTTTTCTTTATGTTGAAATAAAAATGATGACTTTTGACTTTTTAGGTAAATTTTTTTTTTTAATAAGTCTACATTAAATGTATACTAAAATAATTAAAAACAAAAATTTTGTAATTAAAAAACTTATTTTGGTCATTTTTGTCCGGTAAATTTCCGATTTTAAACTAAAATAAATTTTCTATTTAAAAAAAATATTTAATTAAAATTTTGGTCTTTAGGACATTTTTTATAGAAGTCTGAAATTCCGGATTACGCTTACCAGATTTTCTAGGAGTGTTTTTTTCATCTTATCATTTAATTTGCAAGGCGCATCCTTGTACACCTTAAATTTAAAGAAAAAGAAAATCCAATGGCGTCGGAACTCCAAGGGGGATAAAGTAAGGAGTGTGGAATATTAGGAGACTGGCGCAGTTTTTTCAACTTTTGCACTATTTTTATTAAAAATAATTGGCACATTTTTATGGAAAAGTTGTAAATAACTCAATTACCAACAGCTTTTGCGACGAGTAAATCACGACCGGGAACGCGCTTAACACTTTTCACTTATTACATGTAACAGTGCACAGTCCGACAAAATTTGATGAAAAAATATATCTGGGTTATGATCAAGGAAATTGATACAATTGATAAAAAAATGAAAAGGTGTATCGGAATTTTTTATACCTACTAGCTATAGTTTTCGAGATATTATATTTTTAATTTAAATTATTTAAAAAAAAATTTAATCATAAAAACTAAGAAGATTATATACGAGGTGTGTTCAGAAAATAACGGGAATTATTAAATTTCGCGGGTTCGGAGAGTCCGGATGTCATAAAATTTTCTTTATTATGTTGGTATACATGCCTCCGAAGTATGATAAAAGCTTTAGCTGTTTTCATTGTTTACTTTGTCTGTGGCAGCCGCTAAGGTTAGACGTGTTTTATGAGCTCGGCGATTTTCGTTCGTTCGAAAGAAATGGATCAAAGAATTTGTATCCAATTTTTCTTAAAAAATGAAATAAATTCTGTGAAATGTTAACAAAGGCCTATAGTGAGTCTGCTATAAGTAAAACGTGAAGACGTTGAAGATGACGAACGCCCCGAACGCACAAGCACATTAACAACCGATCAAAACATGAAAAAAGTGGAAGAGATTGTTATAAACCATCAGAGAAGTCGCTGATGATGTTGGTATATCGATTGGCTCATCCCAAGAAATTTTTACGAATGTTATGGGTGTGAAACGCGTGGCAGCAAAATTTGTTCCAAAATTGTTAAATTTTGAACAAAATTTTGGGCAAAAATATTATCCTGTAGGATACGCGAAAATCTAAAATTTGAAGGTTGTACAATAACTAATTACCTAGAAATTAATTAAAATAATTGTACGTTTTATGTATTGTTTAACAAATAAAAATATGTCTTGAAGATAATAGTTATTATTATTTTATACGGCTAAAAATTAGTATTTTTGTGCTAAGCTCAAAGTTTGAATGCTGACGCGTAACGGAGGCCTACAGTTGAACGAAGCACAAAAATACACTTCTTACCCTTATGACATAAATAACTATTATTTTTTAATAAGTTTTGGAATTGATTAATAATAATAAAACCAGTATTTGCGTCTTTCAATTTAATATAAGGAAATTAAAAAAATGTAAATTTATAGGGTCTGTTTCGTTTTGCATCTGACATTTACATCGCTTTTATTGGAGCCTGTCAAGGTAAATGTATTTTAAATAAAGTTTAATTCCAGGAAAATTAAAAGAAACCACTGCTTACAAAATCGTAGACATAAAGCAAGTGTTTATTAGACAGAATAATATTCTGTCTGATCTATATTATAATCTTGCCCGTAAACAATAAATTTTATTTTTGCTCTAACCAAATAAAAACTGATGGTTATGCATAGATGACCGAAGGTGTGGTTATGATAATTGACATATTTAATGTCTCTTGGAAAATGCCAATAAATATAATTTGCTTATTTTCCAAATTACTTAAAATTTTATATTTGTATATTAATATTTGTTACTTACTAGACTTTTAAAGCAAATATAGTAAGGAAACGTTTTTTCTTACTACCTCGACTGAAAATACGTTGTTTCGTCCCCGATTTCACGGCAGAAAGTTTACGTTTCTTGCATTGGTCAAGCTATACGCGCACACT